ATTTTAAAAATATACATATTTATATTAATTATTATATATAAATATTTTTTTCTTTTAATAGATTCAAAAATTATTTATTTTATTTTACTATATTCTTTTAATTTTTAAGTATCATTTAATTTTTAAATAACTTAAAAAATAAAATAAACATTAAAAAATTTATTATATTTTATTTAAAAAATTTATTCTAATTTTCGATCTTCTAATCATTAGCTAAATCACTATCTTTATATAATATTTTTTTTATTATATTTATCTTAAAACTCTAAACAAATCAGTTTATATCAAGTCAATTAAAGTTATTTAAACTGAGAAAATCAAATAAAAATCTGATTTAATTTAAATTTTCATTTGAACTTACTTGATTTAACATAATTTAATCTGATTAAATTGTTTTAAAAAAAGATATATTATAAATAAATATAAATTAAAATTAAAATTAAAATTTTATTTGTTTTTTTTATCTCTTATTTTTTTGAATTTTTTATATTTAAATAAATATTATATAAATAATAAATTTTAATATACTATATGTAATTTGATTAGTTAACTTATTAGATTATGTTTATCTAATTTGATTTAAAAAAAAATTTTTTTTTGATTTACTAATTAAATAATATTAAATAAAAATTAAGTCAATAGAATCATTCTAATTAATAATAATAAATTATTTAAAATGAAAAATAATAATTAAACTAATAATAAATTATTTAAAAAGAATTATAATAAATTATTTAAATAAATAATATAAAATTATTTAAATATTTCTTATTTATAATGTAATTTAATTAGTTACTTAAATTTTATTAGGTCAGATAACAAATTTTATCTAATCTGATTTCAACTTAAAAATTTATTAATCTAATCTAAATTTTTAAGTCTGATTAAGTCAGATAATAAGTTAACTTAATTTAATTAAAGTTCTTGTTTATCAATTTTCTAAAGTATAAGTATATAAAAATAATATTATAAAATATAAAACTATAAAAAAAGTTTTAAATTTAAGTATTATTTTAAAGTTTTTCTATAAAAATATTACTTACAGTAAAATAAAAAGAATATAGTATATTATAATTTAATAAATTATTATATATATATTATTATAAGAATTTATATTTTACGCATTTTATATAAAATACACCTTTATATTTATATATATTAAAATAAAATTAAGGTTAGTTAATAGTTAGAATTAAAATTAGGATTAAGATTAAGATTAGGTATTATTTATTATAATGCATTATACCCTTATGTATTTCATTTTCATGATTTATTCTAGAAACAGAAATTTTTTTTATAAAAAAATTTTATTTGTCATCCATTATATAACATACCTGACATTTTGTATAGATGCATAAAAAATAAAGACCTTATTATTATAATATAATAATATTAATTATATATTAAAATGAGTAATATATATTCTCAAATATATTAATATGAAAAATAAATTATAAATATATTAAAATATAACTAATGCATTTTTTTATTAATATTATATTTAATTTATATAATTACATTTTTAATATTTTTATAATTTTATAATTATATTTATATATTAATAAATATTGGTTAAAATAGTTTAAATCGTCTAAAAATCAGATAGTTGAATTTAACCTAATTTTGATATAATTTATAAATGATTAGTCATATTTTCTGATTATTCAAATCATTACTGATTAATGCTAATCAAATAAAATTATTCAGAATTAATTTAAACTTAAATTTAACTATTAATTAGCTTAAAATTAATATTAATTTAATATTAATTTAGAACTTAAATTTAACTTAAATCAGTTTAAAATACCATTAATCAATTTTAATCAAACAAATAATTTAATATATTTAGAACTTAAATAATTATAAATTAATTTAAAATTAGTCACAATTTACTATAGCATCAATTTAGTTAAATAAAATATAAAATCAGTATATTATTATTTAATTAAATTTATTAAATATTAAAATTTTATTAATAATAAAAACTTAATATAAAATTTATAAAAATATAATAAAAATATTATTTAACTTACTGATTAATTTTCTATTAAAGAAATATAAATAAAAAAAAAAAAAGATAAAACTATGCTAAAATATAATAAAATCATAATAAAATAATAAAAACTTGATTTATTTTCTCTGAAATTATTCTAAATATTTAACATAATAACATTACTATTATTCAAAAAGTAAAAATAAAATATTTGTTTGCTATTACTCAAAAAATATAATTTAAGTTTGTAAAAATTTAAAAACATCATTTAAATATACTGATATTTTTTTCTTTAAAATTATTATTTTATTATTTTTATTATATATATACATTATAATAGAAAAGAAAATTATTAAAAAAATTTTTTTACTTAATAAGTTAAATATTATTTTTTAGTAAAATAAATTTAAATTTAACATTAATTCAAAAAAAATTTTTTTTGATAGTTTTTTATTTTTATATTATAAAGTATTTATATATTTCTTCTTTAATAAATTTTATAATATTATTTTTATTAAAATATCTTTGATTAAAATTTTTTCTAAATTATTAAAGAAATGGATTCTTAAAGTTTATTCTAATATACATTATTATTCAAAGTAACAATTATTTATAAACCCTTCAGAACTCTCTTTAAAATATTAATTAAAGCTGAATCCCTTTGTTAATCTTGCGTTAATACTAATTTTCAGTCGTTAGTATTATAAAATAATAATTTGGTATAGATTGGATGGATTAAAAACCAATCTAACAAATTATATATATGCAAAGAATACTTAGAAAATTAAAAGTAGCTTTAGGATCTATTCTTTTCTAACTTCAATTGTAAGTCTCTAATATTTAATTTCAGTATAAATCATTAGAGAACGAAGAAGTTATTTCAATCAATCATCTTAAACGTCTACAAATTAAAATTAATGATCTAAAACATTTTATTGAATTTCATAAAGTTAAGATCACGTGAGATAAATTAGTATTTAGTAATAATTACTTTGACAACGAATTTCAATAAATCTGAAGGAATCTAGTACTGATTATACTATTGAGAAGCAATACCTACAAACTGTTCGATAACATATAGCTGCTCATAAGGAACTTAAAAATCATAAGATCTCATTTATTATCCATTTAAATCAATCCTATCTTTAGTGCTACTCAAACTACGAAACTCAATTAGAAAAATTACCATCTTTTGATAATTTTTAATTTCTGTGGATTGCACCTAAATATAATATCATATCATATATCACCTTTACTGTAGCATATTTTATAAGGATCCAAGAGAATGAAGTCAGCTTTTTGGAAAGAGATCACTTATTAAAATATTTGTTGAGAAAAATTGTTACTACAATTAGATATAAGAATAATATATTAAAAGATTCCTTTGATAACATTACTGATAAATTATATCATATTTAGATAAAAACAAAATAATTTCAATCATGAAAATTGAAAGCATTAGCAGTATTGACTCAATAACAAATAGCAATTTTAGTGATATGTTAGAAAATATAAAAAGAGATCAAAATGATACTAATATAGCACCTTTTCAAGAAAGTAATGAAAGTTCCTCAGGAATGATACTACATATAGCAATAAATGGACTATTATCAGAAACTATTATACCTATATCTCAACCACCATCTTATATATAACTACGACAACTATATCTGAGAGATAGGAGGTAGTATTATGAAAAAGAAAATGACACATATGGGATCTTTGCAATAGAAAGGGAGGAAACTCAAAAAAAAATAAAAAATGAGTTAATAATAAATCTGAACAAATTATAGTATTTGGAACATTTTTGGCTTATAAACTAAAATTTTAATTTTTTTGGAGTTTTCTCCCTTTCTATTGCAAAGGTCCTATATGCTCCTAATTATGAATAAAATATCATATTTAGATATGTTAATGATAATAATAAAACATTGCAAGAAACGTCTTTCTTTGATAATGCAAATGAATTAGAAAGAGGAGGAACACCAAGCAGAATACCTCGAAGAGTTATATTTAATACAGATAATAATAGGAAATCTCTATCTCTTATTATAGTGAAAAATGTCTAATAATTAGTAACTAACATTATCTGAATCAATCGTCAAAACTATTGAATTTAAGGATAGTAACTTCATCAATAGAAAATACAAATGATAGATCATCATTAGAAAATCCTTACAATTTTTCTCAAGTAACTCAATATAATCGTATATTTGACCCTTTAGCATTATTTGATCTTTTCTAAAATAACAACTTATTTAAAACCTTCAGTTTTACAATTGCAAAATAGCAACTAGTAAATAATCATTAGTTTGGAAGTAATCCAAATAATAGAAGAAATAATATAATGAGATATCAAAATATAATCAAAGAGACTTCACTGCTAATAATGATAGCTCAACTATATAGTATGTGATCACTATCGAACTTCTGAGGGAGTAGTTCTCAACTAACTAGCACAACAATTTCTCAGTCAATATCTAGCAGTTAATCATCAAATAATATAAATACTTCTCAGCCAATACCTACGTCCTAATCAATTATAGTACTAGTAAGAAAAAATAATGACAATGCTTACCTTCAAGTCATATAGGATTTAGCAGGCTGACTCTAAAGACAACAAATAAGGAAGCAATAATTAGTAGATCTACTAACATTTAGAGAAGAAAACTAGGATTTAGTAAAGTAGCTCGAGGTTTTTGAATAAGCTTGCAAAGCAAATAGTATCAGCACCACTCAAATAATTGAAATAGTTCACAGTTATTTAACAGAAACAGCATTAATATGATTCTAATGACAGTATATTACTAACTGAAATAGTAGAATCAATCCTGATACTTCTTTCATATCATTATTTGAATAACATTTTTGCAATGCATTTCGGCAAAATCAATAGAAGCATCAACTTAGGTATAGAAAATAAAAGTTAAGTGAAACTATTGAGGAGTATATCGCAGTAATAGGAGAATTGTGAAAGAGGATTGACTTACTATATAGGTATGCTAAAATGGATAGAGTTGCTGAATTTATTGAAGAATTACAATCAGAATTTATAGTGCTAATGTAAACAGCAATACCAATGACAGTAGACCAAGCAATTAAAAAGGTCAGAGTAATAGAATTTGCATATTCTATTAGAATAGAACTATCTACCTATTCATTAATGTCTAACTATATGCAATTACTACAAGGAGAAATAGTATCAGCTCATACAAATATAGCAATGCAATTTACGTATATTACACAATAATCAGATATTGAAGATACTATTAACCATAAATTAAATGAAGGATTATAAGCAATTATGGTAAATATTAAGCAACAACAGCAATAACAACAATAGCAGTAGTAGTAGCAACCACAATAACGACTACGTGAATGCTTTAATTGTGGAAAATTTGAATACTAAGTTAAAGATTATAAAAGTAATTAACATATCAATCAATCAAATATTGAATGCTTTAACTATAAGAAGTTTGGCCACTTTACCAGGGATTGCAGAAATGCAAATAACAATCGAAGTTGAAATTTCTAAAATAATAATAGTAATAACAGAAATTGCAATCACAGTAATAGCAGAAATAGAATGATAATAGTAATAATAATAATAATAATAATAATAATAATCAACAGCATTTAAACTAGCAGTCGCATCTCTTAGGGTGAGTGTGCGAATAAACCAAAGCCCTTAAAAGCAGAGGAAGAAAATAAATCAAGAAAAAATATTCAAAGTAAAACAAAAACAAAAATAAGTTTAATAGAAGTATCCTATGTATGTAGAGGAATGAATTCAAAAATGCGATTTGAAGGATCATATAAAAATAAATATGATCACTCTAATTGTAAAAAATATGACCATTACAGTCATATTGTATGTACAAATTATAATAAGATTATTAAAGAAATAGCAGCATGATATGAATGTAAGGAAGTAAAATAGAAAGATCTATTAACCGATGAAAGAAATTTTAGTAAAAATCAACTAATTAAATCAATGAATCTTCAACAATAAGGAGAAATCACTGTTAAGAAAAGGTCAAAGTATGTGTTAAGAATTTTATATGATAATAAAGGAATCTATCTTTCAAAAAAAATTGACTCTAACAAGAAAATGTATAATTTATAGCAAACAGTTAGTGAAAAAATTGAACTAGAAAAATCATTAATAAGGACTATGATTTGAAAAATTGATGAGGAAACTGGAATACAATTGGATAAAGATCGCTTAGAATACATTTTAAATAATCATATATATAATTGTGACATATATAGGATAAAACTAAACAAGAAAATACCGAACCTACCAAGCATAGTAATTGATAATATTTTGAGTTTGATAAATATCTACAAATAACTAGATTAAATGAATTAATATCAACACATAATAAATATAGAGAACTTTTCATAACTAAACTTAAGAAACAAATTATTACTAGTAAAATAGTACATGATAAACCTATTAAAAATGCATTATTTATTGAAGTTCAAGTAAAAGGATACTTTGTAAATGCTCTAGTTGATACTGGATCTGTAGAAAGTATCATTACTTAGTGGTATCTCAGGCAAATCAATAGAAATATTGATGAACCTGCAAAAACAAAAATTTTGGAAGTGAATGGAAAAACTATGATGCCTTTAGAAATAATTAAAGGAATTACAGTAGAAGTTAATGAAATAACTGTTAATAAGAATATACTAGTAACTAATGCCATGAGATATAATATTATTTTAGGAAATACCTGATTGCAAAAAGTTCATGCAATCATTAACTATGATACTAGTATCATCATATAATAAAGAGATCAAACTTCTATGATGCTTATAATTTGTATATAGGATATACATCTAAAAAGGTTCATACTAATCAAACCTAAAATAATAGTAGATGAATTAGAATTTGAAGATAAGGGAGATATCAATATTTAACAATGTTTTGCTATTGTTTCTAAAGAAAAAGAGAATATAATTCAAATAAATGAAAAAGAATATCCTGAAATATATCTACAACAAATTGAATACAAAATGGATGTTCAATAAAATAGGAATTAGAAAGGATTGACTACATGCTGGTGTTTAAAAAACTTAAAAAATGAAGGCTAATGTGATGATTGTAGAGAAATTGTAAGGACAGTACAAACTTATCAATACTATAGGAATAGTATAGATCTATAAGCTGTCTATAAAGTTTAAATTAAAGAAAATAATATTCAAGTAGAAATTAGTAAAGATTCAGAAAATATATAACTTGTGAAAAATTAACAGATGCCTCTTTAAAACAACTAAAAGTATTTCCTAAAAAGAATCTTAATGGTTTTGTGACTACAACACAGGAATTAATACATTCAAAACAATATAAACATTATATATTTACTGAAGATGTACCACCAGTTGTAATAAAGTCATACCAAACGTTAATTAAGGATGATCAGTACATTTAACAAGAAATCCAAAACATGTTAGATCAAGGAATAATACGACCTTCTTGAAGTCAATAAAGCTCACCTGTAGTTTTTGTAAAGAAAAAGAATGGAATAATGAGGTTTTGTATAAACTATAGAAAATTAAATAATGTAATAATAAAAGATCGATACCTCTTACTAAGGATCGATAAACTATTAGAATCTTTAGGAGAAGCAATATGATATATTACCTTATATTTAGCTTCAGGATACTAACAATTTAATGTCAGAGAACAGGATAAATCCAAAACAGTGTTTATTACAAAATATGGATTATATGAATTTAATGTAATGCTATTTGGATTATGCAATGCACCAGTCAACTTTCAACAGGCTATGGATGATATATTACGAAATATAAAAGGAAAATTTGTACTAGTATATCTTGATGATATCATTATATTTTCTAAAAATTATGATGAACATTTGCAATATCTTTAATAAGTTTTTGATCTATTAAAGGAAGCTCAATTAAAAATAAATCCAAAAAAATGCCATTTTTGTATAAATGAAATTTAATTTTTGAGACATGTAATATCTGAATAAGAAATACAATCTAATCTAGTAAAAATTGAAAAGATTATTAACCTCAATACTCTATTTAATGTTAAACAATTATAAGAATTATTTTCCTATTATCGATATTTTGTTAAAAATTATTCTAAACTGGTAATCTCATTAAATGACCTGTTAAAAAAAGAAATGTCTTACAATTAGACAAAACAGCATCAATAGATTTTGAAATACTCAAAAAAAAATTAACGATTACATTAATCTTATCCTATTCTGATTTTAATCAATTTTTTATTTTAAATAATGATGCAAGTACTATAGAATTAGGTGCAGTACTTTCACAAAAGAATAATAAAGAAAGAGAACATTCTATCTGATACACAAGCAAAACATTAAACTTAGCTAAAAAGAATTATCATATTACTGAATAAAAAGCTTTAGCAATAGTATGGATAGTTAATATTTTAGAAGATATTTAAAGGATAATACATTTATTATATATACTGATCATTCAACATTGTAGTGGCTACTAAGTCAACCCACTAAAGAGAAAGATAGTAAAAGGATTATTCTACTATAATAATTTCAATTTGAAGTAAAATATTGCAAAGAAAAGATAAACGCAAATGCTGATACTCTTTTAAGGATTGACGAATTACAAGCATCAAACATATCACAAACATCAACATTAATAATAAATTATGGATAAGTAATAATATCAAAATATGATTCAATACCTTACTAACCTCACTTACCCAAAAAAATTGCAATACTTCTCAATGAAAACAAATTCAATGATTATCAATCCATTACATTGTCAAAAATTCACAATTATACAAACTAACTAAAGAAGGATTAAAAAGAGTAATTACATAAAAACAAGTGGAAGTACTCTTATTTAACTTATACAAAGACATGTTAGGTGCTTATTTAGGAATTGAGGTAGTATATAATATAGCTAAAGATGATATTATTGATCACAAATGTTTGAAGATATTAGAAAATATGTGAAAAATTGTGACAATTGCCAATGAAGAGAACCAAGTATCAGGAAAGAACCATTATATTCTATTTTAGTTAAAGCATCTTTTTATCAAGTAAGATTGGATATAAAAGGACCATTACCTATTACAAAAACAGGAAATAGATATATAATAGTTGCAATGGACTATTTTACAAAATGGTCAGAGGCTAGAGCCATCAAGGATATCAAAGTTGACACAGTAGCAAAGTTTCTATATGAAGAAGTTATATGCTGACATGGTGTATCTGAAGAAATACTCACAGATCAAGGAACATTATTCTAGTAGCATAATTATGTCAAAAGTTTCAAATGAAATATCGATTAACATCATCATATCAACCTTAAACAAATGGAATAATAAAGAGATTTAACTGTATTATAGAAGAGTGTTTAGCTAAATTAGTATACGATTAAGAAAATGAATGAAATACCTATATTTATCAGTATTATTTACTTATTGAATAATAAAACATAAAAGTACAAGTTACATTCTATTTTATCTCATATATGGACGATAAATGATGCTACCAATAGATTTACAATTAAATTCTGTTGAAATAGATGAGTAAAACATTGATGATGCTCTAATAAATAGATTAATGAATTTAATTGATAAATTAGAATAGGATAAGCAGGATACACTTGATAACATGAATCAAATACAAAGGTGACAAAAAGATCGGTATAATGATCAGTAAATATCAGAAAAATTAAAAATTAGAGAAAAAGTTCTAGTTGAGAAAATATGGAAACGACAAGATATGTTAGCCAAATTGAAAGCTCAATAGATTAGTTCTTATTATATTTATAATGTAATTAATTTCAATAATTACAAATTAAGGTCACTGAATAGATGAATAGTTAAAGGAATAGTATATAGTGATTGACTAAAGAAATATAATGAACAGGAAATGAAATCAATAATAATTATTACCTAAATTAGATACCAATTTTAGTATATTTCTGACGATTAATAATTATAATATAAATAAATTTAATTTATTAAAATAATAACGAGAAAAGATGTTACAGAAATATTAATAGATATATTTTGATTTATTAGAATTTAGTTCACCTAATGTAATATTATCATCTTTGCCTAATATGTCTTCTCAAAATCTAAATATGAAGATAAAAATATTATTCTGATATACATGATGACAAATAGTCACAAGGAAAAGAAAAGAATCATTAATTTATTTTTATTATATAGGAGAAATAATCAATAAAGAAAATATTTTGCAAAAAGATTCA